CTGATAATTTTATTACAAAATTATTTTAAAAAATTCACAATTCACAAAATTCTGCATTACAATCTCACATCTCACACTCTTACTTTGTTGCAATTTGTTTCCCTCCCTCCCTCCCCACCCCAAGTGCAAAGCATCACAAATGAACAGTTCTGTATTCAAGTAACATATATACAGGGTATTACAAATATGCAGTACTGTACAGATAATTGCTGTATTCTTAATTTACAGATGTTGATTCTTTCCTATTAACAGTAAGAAAAGAAAATCCAAAGCATGAGAGATGTGCATTGCTGTCAAGTCCCCACAGCTGCCATGGAAACGCAATGTGCGGCATTCCATCATCCCTTGCATTCAAAATGCTACTGATGCATAGCACCTAAACAAGTTCCCAAGGCTGCAGTTCCATTCCTATGGAAACTACGTCACCTCCATTGCTACTGTATTGTCCACTATATTGTTCAGGGCTGGCTTTTCTGTTTCATGGTTTTCCCTGTTAAAAATAAAAACCAATTCTTAACATGCAAGTGTGACAGAATAACTGATTTACCATTCCAGAGACTTCCATTCATCAACATTGTAATTTAGTATTTTTAACGTAAAATATTTATCCAAATACAGCGAAAAATAAATTTCATCATGACATTTACATATTAAATAATCAATTAAACTGTTTGCCAAACTCCCTTGGATGATCTGAGAATTTTAATTAGGGCTGTCAAGCAATTAAAACAATCGCCCAATTAATCGTGCTGTTAAACAATAAAAGAATACGATTTATTTATATATTTTTGGATATTTTCTACATTTTCAAATATATTAATTTCAATTACAACAGAATACAAAGTGTATAGTGCTCACTTCATATTTATTTTTGATTACAAATATTTTGCGCTGTAAAAAACAAGATGTATTTTTCAATTTACTTAATACTAGTACTGTAGTGCAATCTCTTCATCATGAGAGTTGAACTTACAAATGTAGTATGTAAAAAAAACTGCATTCAAAAATAAAAATGTAAAACTTTAGAGCCTACGAGTCCACTCAGTCCTACTTAAGCCAATCGCTTAGACAAACAAGTTTGGTTAAAATTTTCAGGAGATAATGCTGCCTACTTCTTATTTACAAATGTCACCTGAAAGTGAGAATAGGTGTTTGCATGGCACTTTTGTAGCCGGCGTCGCAAGATATTTATGTGCCAGATAGGCTAAACATTCATATGCCCCTCCATGCTTCGGCCACCATTCCAGAGGACATGTTTCCATGCTGATGCTGCTTGTTAAAAAAAATAATGCATTAATTAAATTTGTGACTGAACTCCTTGGGGGAGAATTGTATGTCTCCTGTTCTGTCTTACCCGCAGTCTGCCATATATTTCATGTTATAGCAGTCTCGGATGATGACCCTGCACATGTTCGTTTTAAGAACACTTTCACAGCAGATTTGACAAAATGCAAAGAAGGTACCGTGAGATTTCTAAAATAGCTACAGCACTCGACCCACAGTTTAAGAATCTGAAGTGCCGTCCAAAATCTCAGAGGGACGAAGTATGGAGCATGTTTTCAGAAGTCTCAAAAGAGCAACAGTCCGTTGCGGAAACTACAGAACCCAAACCACCAAAAAAGAAAATAAACCTTCTGCTGGTGGCATCTGACTTGGGATGATGAAAATGAACATGCATTGATCCACTCTGCTTTGGAGTGTTATCGAGCAAAACCTGTCGTCATCAGCACGGATGCATGTCCTCTTGAATGGTGGTTGAAACAGGAAGGGGCATATGAACATTTAGCATATCTGGTACATAAATACCTTGCAACGCTGGCTACAAAAGTGCCATGCAAATGCCTATTCTCACTTTCAGGTAACATTGTAAATAAGAAGTAGGCAGTAGTATCTCCTGTAAATGTAAACAAACGTATTTGTCTTCGTGATTGGCTAAACAAGAAGTAGGACTGAGTGGACTCATAGGCTCTAAAGTTTTACATGGTTTTGTTTTTGGGTGCAGTTATGTAACAAACATACAAACTCTACATTTTTAAGTTACGCTTTCATGATAAAGAGATTGCACTACAATACTTGTATGAGATTAACTGGAAAATACTATTTCTTTTGTTTATCATTTTTACATTGCAAATACTTGTAGTAAAAATAATATAAAGTGAACACTGTACACTTTGTATCCTGTGTTGTAATAGAAATCCATATGTTTGAAAATGTAGAAAAACAAATATTTAATACATTTCAATTGTTATTCTATTGTTTAACAGTGCGATTAATCGTGACTAATTTTTCTAATTGCGATTTTTTGAGTTAATTATGTGAGTTAACTGAAATTAATCAATAGTCCTAGTTTTAGCATAAAATGTGAAAGTTTGTTTTGTTTCAACTGAAGTGCAGTATGTCATATTGTCACAATTATATCACACGTAGAAAAAGATGTGTTACCACCAAAACTCAATACATATATTGGTAAAAAGTCCTATAACTAAACATTTAAGACTGACAAAGCATGAGAAATAAATAAGCCTAATTTCCAGTTTAAAATCTGATAATTTTATTACAAAATTATTTTTAAAAAATTCACAATTCACAAAATTCTGCATTACACAGAATTTCAGGGATTCCCTGAAAGCTTTGCTAATGTTCTAACTGTAAAAAGATCTTTGGATGACCATTGATCCAGATTCCCTATAGTCATTCATTTATTGGCAGTATACTTCTTTTAAAGGAGTATGATAAGTAGGTTCTCCCCTTTTATGAGGCTGTACTTTGACTCTCAAATGGATAAACAAGCCTGGTTTTACATTGCATTTAGTGGAGATGAATTTTTCCCTTGATTGGTACTGTCTGGTAGAGCAGCTTTGGGTTAACATTCTGGGTTTCTGAGCTAACAATGTCATTGTAGAAAACCGGAAAATAAAAAACTAAGAAAATTAAGATACAAACAGGACTTACCTTGGTACTGCATCCACAGAGGATGAAGCTGGAACCTTGGGCACCTGACAGTTTGCTGCTGCAGCCAGCTTTAAGGCAGATGATGGAACAGCACTTAAAGTCCTAGGTATATGTCGTGCATTGAGTGTGGAAATAGAGTTTACAGTGGCAACTGATGAGGGTACAGTTAATCGAATGTTGTTCCCAAACAGGACCTGAGTTGTTGCAGAGTTGGCAGCGGTTACTTGGTGACTCAGTGCACTGTGGGAACTCGAAGTCTGTGTTATATTTGAAGGCGGTAACAAGGTTGAACCTGCTGCTGACGATGAACTTGTATGTACAAGTGCTGTAGGTGTAGTACTACTGAGGTGTAAGCCCTTGTATACTCCTGCAGAAGAATGAGATTTTTTTTTTTAAAGAAAACCTGAGACTCCAAACAGGGGTTTCACATACCAACTATGAAAGCAAAATACAATCAGAATGAATTTAGATTTGTATAGCTCTATACCTGAGGCCTGAAGGATGCCATTCACCCCAATTCCAAGCACCACATCATCCTTCATTTTGAATCCCATCAATTGTTCAGATGTTACCAAAGCTGAAGCAGCAAATTGAGCACTAACAGAATCCAATGTCTTGGAAACAAAACCCTAAGAAGAAAGGTGGCAAATAAATGTGATCAAGCTTCAAAAGGTCAATACTCTTCCTATTTTTATGCATAAACTAGTAATGCACAAACCAGTGCAGATAAAGAAAGAACTGATCCTCACTCTTCCTCAAACCAAACTTCTGATGTTTGGTAAAATTAGATAAATAATTAGATGCAGTATTCCCCATGAACTTATAATTCCAGTACTAAAACGTGCACAAGTATTTCAAATGCACAATACACAGTCCTTCCATAGCATTTCTCACAAGATTTCCAAATCAATCTGGAAGATTCAAGGAGATTCGGATGTCCAACAGTAACTTCTGAACTTTTTTTTGTTTGTCCACTGACACTTTAAATGTTACATATTTAGCTGTTATATATTTTCACAGCTAAAGACAGGACATGTTTATACATTATTATTAAAAGGTAAAAATCTGGCCTCAGAACATACAGTCTCAACAGGATAACAATATGGCTGGAATTCTTTGCAATATGTATCCCCAAGTCTTTGCATATTTCATGTAATTGATTCACTCATCTTTTTGGATTTTGTTAAGAGGGAGCAGAGGCAATGCCTGCCACACTCACCTGCAGTGTCCCTTCTAAACACTTTACAGAATGGCTATGATGTAGATTCAGGCGAAAGCCACTTTCTTGTTGGTTAGTTTCAAGGTTCTATGGCAACAGTTGACAATTAGAGATGAACCCTGGTGGGAAACAATGAGGGATAAATCATAGCACAGACAAATCCCTCACCTGTGAAGTGTTGGCAGAGGAATTACTATTTGCTTGCTGTTGATGAATTTGTGCAAACTGCTGTTGCTGCATTAGTGCCAGTTGCTGTTGATGTTGCTGGTATTGTTCGGCTGTAAATGCTGAACAAAATATAAAATGAGAAAATACTATATCAAAATATGTATATGTTGTATATATACACACACATCTTTTAGAATCCTAAAACAAAAATGTTTCAACACACCAAATTCCTAAGAACTTTGTTGCATCTTTATGGCAACAGACTATGATCCTTCTAGAGGTTTTGTCCAAACTAAGTTTTCCCCATTGAGCACATTTGTGGTGAAGTATTAAACACCTTCCACATTTAGCTTACAATATTTGAGTGAAGAAATCTCATTTAAGTGACTTTAAGGGAGTAAGCACAAACCACCACTCAGATAAGACTGATCTGCAAAGATTGTGTTTTAGTGTAGTAGGTTAAAACCAACTTTCATATGTGCAGATTTGGGGGATTACACCTCTACCCGATATAACGCGACCCGATATAACACTAATTCGGATATAACGCGGTAAAGCCGTGCTCTGGGGTAGGGATGGGGGCTGCGCACTCCGGCAGATCAAAGTAAGTTCGATATAACGCAGTTTCACCTATAACGCGGCAAGATTTTTTGGCTCCCGAGGACAGCGTTATATCGGGGTAGAGGTGTATCTTGTAGGATGTTGAGCATTCTGAACTTCCATGGACTCCAATGTGAGCTAAGGTGCTCACCACCTCACAGGTGAAGGCCCTCAGGTTTAATATTTAGTTGAAAATACAAAAATGAATTTGATGGTTACCAATGAAGACTGTTTTACCACATTATGATCTCTCAACATAAACTTCACTATTCCTACCACCCTCTGTTTTGTGCAGACTAATATACCTTCTATATTCGTATTAAGAAAAAAAATAAAATCATGCACACTGTCAACGGAGAATTTCATAGAAGCTATTTTCTTCCAAAAAGGAGCTCTTAAGGAATGATCCATTAGTCATAACATGTGTAAATGTCAATCACAATTTTCCCCAGTTAACCCACCTGGGAAAAAAATCCAGTCAATGAGAATGGAGTTGTTTATGCTGATTTACAGAAGGAAGGATGTCTGAGGAAAGACACTGTATTATACTAATTTGTCTATGGAGAGATCAGTTCTAAAAAAAACAAAGAATAAAATTCATTTTGAATCCCCAAAATGGTTTGTATAGTTTTAATGAAGAAAATCTCTACTGTCAATTTAAAAGTGGGATGATGGTGCAGATTGAATCCATTATAGAGTCAGCCTAGACCACACCATGTGAGTTTTCCCAAATTAAATTTCAGGTGCCCAAATTTCTGTGTATGTTCTCAAAACAAATATTGTGAACATTCTTACGCAACAACTTCCAGTGCTTTCTAGAGTTACGACCGTTACCAAATGGAAGGTATCCAACTTTCTACAAGTCAACACAGGACTTAAATGCTTGTTCATGAAATACAGTATCTTGGCCAAAGCTTTTCTCCTTTGTTCCTAACTGCAGAAAATCTGTACTGCTATCAGACTACATGCATCTAATGTTTCCAGAAAAAAATAAAAGACTAAAATGTTTTTAATCTTTGCTGAATGTAGATGATAGAATAATTAATCAAATGGATTGTGATGATTTGAAAACAGAAAACGAACGAGTTAATCCATAAGAAGTTTCTAAAGATCATGTGTCTTCAGCCTACACTCAACTATGAGTTTCTTGGAAATATTTGCTTCATTCACAGCTACAATTAAGATCTTGCACATGATTATATCTATATGTATCTATCTTTCTTCTGATTATGTATTGAAAGAGCACCAAATCATCACAGAATCTATTTTAGGGTTTTACACTGCTGCCCATCACTGTAGTATTTGAGAGTCTGTATCTAGCAGCTGAACACAGTAAAATGGCATAAGATTTCAAACAAGTTAGAAGCTCTTCCGATAGAGCTCTTTAGTGAATAGGCATACAATGGTTGTTTATATATAGCCATGTGTAATACACTGCATCACCTTCCAACTTATTTCTTTTAAAAATATGGCAAACTGAACTGAGATTTGTCTTGAAGATTTGGGGGGAAAAAATCAAACATTTACTGCGTTAGTAGGTATTTCATTTATATAAATCTTTTTATTAGTTAATTATAACTAGTTGGTACTATATTACAGTGTTTTGAAATTAAGAGTTTAAAGTATCCATACAAATAATGACTAGGAAAGTTAAGATTTTACAATTTAGATGATTTTTCTTCCTGTTCATTCTTAGTCATTTGGTGAAAGGACTTTGCGCTCTAAAGTAACAAGTTTGTAAATGTATTGCTTAAAAATGAATTGAAATGAGTTACTAAAAAAGAGGAAAAATACATAGTTTAAGATTCCAATTGATAAACAATACCAACATAAAGCTGCATATACATTTTAAACAAAGTTTATCTAAAGTTATGGCCCCCTTTTATCTTCCAAAATCTGAATTCAGGATTTTACATTTCAGCTACCTATGATATCAGTCATTTGCTAGGGAAGCAGAGTGCCAAACTAATTAGTTTATAAATGTATAATAATAGTTTTAAAATATAATTTGTAAATTAAAAGCCATGTTAGGGGGACACAAGATAATTTAGTCTTGGGCCTCCGCCCCACAATTACCCCCAACTTCTTATATCATTGATTACATGGGGAAAAAAAATCCAGTTAGTCATTAATACTTTGAACAATGAAACCAGACTGGTCAGTTTGATTTGCATATAGTTACTTTCAAATTCCTTAAACATTCTCTTTTGCAACAATAAAATATTGTAATAGCATGGAAGCAATAAAAACACTATCCATCAGAGTTTTAATGCTACATTTTGGGCCTAAACCACTTGAATATTAAAAAAATTAAAATTACAAGTTAACATTTCTGTTTAACAAAGTTAAACAAAATTTAACATCCTTGTCTTGTTACTGCTGCACAAGAGCATTGAGTGTGGTCATTGTTGACAGTATTTGACAGAGATATTAATTTGGTACTTTTTGAAGGATATATTTAGATTTACAAATGAATGTAGTTTCCAAATAGCTTTTCAATGAATTATTGCAGTCCATACAAGAATTACCTTTCCAGACATTATCAAAATAATTTCAGTAACCATTTAAAAAGGCAAGTGAAAAGAAAAAAACTGATTTGCACCCACAGCATTTTAATTATTTAGGCCCAAATTTTAAAAAAAATAGAGGCCTAAGGAAGCACTGAAATTCAATGTTAATTGGCTGCCTGACTCCCTTAGGCATATTTGAAAATCCCAGCATAAGCAGTACAAACGCCTGTTAGCTTTTCTCCTATAACTTCTGGACACTGAGATTACACCTAAAGCATTGACAAGTGACAATTTTTTTCTAGTGGTTAAAGAACCAGACAGTCAAGGGCTCCAAGCATAATTTCCAGCTCTGCCAAAGATTTGGTGGGTGATCTTGGGCTATTCACATCCTCATTATCCTCAGTTACATCCATTTTACAGACAGGAGGAAACACCTCTCTCATAGGGCTATTGCTCAGAGTCAAAGTTTGAAAACTGCTTAAGTACCCTCTGATGGAAACGGTTACAGAAATGTAAAAATATTTGTCACCCCCATAGCATGTGTCAAAATGCTACTTTCACATAACAAAAGGTCCAGTATACAGGCCATAATCTGAATTTGTTTTAAATCTTTTAGTCACAGAAGCTAACTTTTTAGTCTGAGCTACCTATGGAAAAGCCCTACATACATTGATGACATAACCAATCAGAAATGCTGATAATATGCTCTGTCCAAACCCAACTGAGATTGATTTTTCTGTGAAGGGGTCTGCATTAAAGAAAAACATCCTAGTTGGCTAAAACAAATCGGATTTATTCTGCTTTTACAGTCCTCCTAATCTGCTTCCTAATTTTCCTCCCGTACTGAGTACAGATCAGAATTCTCTTGTAGGCTGCTAGGCCAACAGTGCGTTTAGCTCTACTAGTAAGACACTGGTGAGACAGAAGATTTTGGGAACTCGTTTTTCCTTTGTCACACACACACACAAACACACCACCCAAAAAACCTTGTAAGTGTCCTTACTTTTCAACAAAGCATCTCAATATGCAACCTAATCTTCAGTATCCTTTATTTTCAGTGCATTCGTACAAATCTGATTGGGATTGTGCAAGGCTCTCCTGTGAAATTATGGGTCTTCATGGCAAAGCTGCTCAGCATTGTAAAGTCAAAGAGAGGGTCTAAAGTCTTGAAGTTCAGATCAAGAATGAAACAGTTTCACTATTTTTTCATAAGTGCAAAACTGAATTTCTCCAACAGAATATCACATTTCCGAAAAAAATTCTGTTCACCTCTATGAAAAGCCATTTAGTACTAATATTTGTGGACTGGCAGCAAGTAGCTGCCACAAACAGACTAACTATAAGGATTGCAGAGCGAATCCTTTTTGCCTTCATCTACCTCATATGTTATTGCTTGTAAAGTCAAACCAAGTTTGTTGTGTAAACATGAAAGCTTAGCATCCCAGAATCTTGAACGTCAATCAGATCCAGGTAATGAAGGAAAATTCTAAACTTGTTGAAATGGATAATCAGTTTAAAAAAAATTCTAAGAGGATACTTTCTAATTTTTTTTTATTTATTGCTGTGCAGACTTTTGGAACTTTTATTACTTCTCAGCTCTTATTCCATAAATGAAATCATACATGCTTGAAAATCTGACAGACGAGATGAGTGATCACCTCCAACTGGTAAAGCTTCTTATTTCTAGCTTCTACTTCTACCATTCAATTTTTAAATAAAATTGTGAAGTGTGGCTCTTAACATCAATGCTCACAGAAGCATGTTCTTATGACAATTTCGCTAGAAAATAGCTTTGCACGTTTTACTATGTGGTACAATCTGACTAATGAGAAAAGCCCAAATCTTTCATCTGTACATATCTGTCTTAGATATAGATTTGTTTCAATATTTCAGTCCAAGGAGCAAGAAAGTAAATACTAATGCAGTAGATTACATTTTTAATTCTCAGATCACACAGTGCCTATTTTTTCAGGTACTAATGAAGACCAAACATCAAGTCTAGCTATTCT